CCAACAGCGGCCAGCACGCCAATGCAGGAGATTCATAGTTAGGATAAACTGCATGAAGCGATGAAACAAATCCAGTTAGCCGAGAACGAGATTGCATTTCGTCCTAAGCTCTTGTGTATCAAGCGAGGTTATTAAAATTCTTTTACTTGTATGCTTTTGTCCTTGTTGAATATTATTTTCTTTATTCCAAAGAGGCTCAAATCGGTTTCCTCGTTCATTTGCAATCCATTGTTTATTGGATCTATAAGGACACAATCGTTTTTACAATTTCTTGCCTCAGCAACAGTATTTGGTGCTATTTTTCTCCCTTACGAGAAGTTAGCATCCATATCACATTAGCCTATTGCTTAGAATCACCCCCTCCTCACCTCCACCACGGGACAAACGCATATATCCTGATATTTCATAAAATTATTTACAACATATCTTCACTGCATCATCAAAACAAATGTGCTCGCAAAATTTTTACAGAAATACCACACAGCATGCATAACAAAATTTTTTCAAAGACTTACTATAACTCAAAGAAACTCCACACACTAATTTTAACTAATACGGGGCTCCACAAAAATACTGATTAACTTTCAAAATTCTACCACCAGGATACAGTTAATATTTGTAACACATTTCGTGCAATGTTGTTTTCCATTTCATCTTCAATGTTCTAATTACCTCATTTGAATCCCTAAATGTCATTTTTATCGACAAAAGTCTTTACCACAATATCTACACACCAAACCCATACTTTTATATACCAAATTCTGATATTCATACACCATTTTGAGGTCAAATGGTAGCAAATACTTTCTGACCATTCGCGTGAATCCCAAGATTTGAAAATAGTTTTCTGAATGAAATCGTTCCTTAAATTTACAATCATTAGATACATTACAGTTTAAACTCAGACGAACTCCGAATATTGCAATTCTAGTTATCTGATTGGTTTAGTTGACTCCGGTTATCAGCTCACATTCCGAGTCACCGCAAATGGAAATGTATTACGCCAACTGTTACGGAACTAAGAAAAGCTTCAAATATTCAAACATTCAGGATGAAGTTTAATACAACTACTATTCCATTCACACTTGTTGGATAAGAGACTGGTTATAGCCCACTCGGTTATTTACTACGTCATATCCCACGCTCACGGAACAATCGTTAACTATCAAAATGATATTAATCCATAATTTTCATACAAACTCCTCAATTCATTTACCATCATCTCTCCCCATAACTCGAGTGATAATTCAGTATGATCGGTCATTTATAAATGAAATGACTAACCGTCCAAGTTAAAATCATCTGCTCTCTCTTTTCTTGCCGTTTACTGTCCTCTTCATTTAGCCACCTATACCAAATACAATCACAAAGCTAGTGAATCACTCAAGCCTACATTGGTCAAAATCATCCGCTCTCTCATTTCTTGTCATTTATTGTCTTATTCTCCTAGCCACCTACTCCAAATATAATCACAAATCTATTGAATCACTCAAGTCCACATTGGAGACACAGATACCTTCAGACTGATGCTGTCTAGTGACTGCCGTCTAATTTAATAGCAGAGTGGATTCTCACATCTCAACTTTGGGCAACCTTGAAAAACCTGAAGAGAAAAGCGAAACACAAACAGTTTGAACTCTGAAACTAGCATAGAGGAACTAGCTCTGGCTATCAGAAAACCACTTCACGTTAGAGTCTTTAAAGAGAGGCAAAAACGACTCCAGGGCGAATGAAATAGCTAACAGCTCCCCTCAGGCGGAACTTTTACCACAATCATCTACATCCAATAACTTGTGACATACTTGTTCATTGTTGACATCTTAGTGGGCACCACAACCTGTGGAGCTAACATCGGAATAAACTACGTAATTAGATGTTTTAGACGGACAATACGATAACCAAAGATTAAAAAGCTATGAAGGTATAAGAAAAAAGCATACCGGTGGATAATTCATAGGTGCTGTATGGAATGATATTTATATTGCATGCACGTTACCAACATATTTTTTTTTTTAGAGGGCACGGTAAAGAATCCTGCAATCTGATTGGTTCTTTACCCGGTCAGTATTTTCCTATCTCTGCCCACGGGCAACGGTAACGCTTTCGTGAGTCGCCGAGTAAGTCCCTTCATTCGTTGCTATTTTTCATAAATATATCTCGTTTTACCGGCTGGGCAGTATTTTTAAGCAAAGAAGTCGGTCACTACCTCAAGCCGATAAATAACTTATTAATCCTCTCTTTTCTCTCTCTCAAGTCACTTTGGTCGACTGAAAAATTTTCGTTTCAGTATGACTTTTTCGTATAGGCAATAATGTCATTACGTCGGTTGACAGGCGGCCTAAACAACGTCTGCAATTAATTTATATCGTTCACAAAAAGTATCTAGAGAGTTAAAATGTAAGATATTTGGCTACAGTTGAACTAATCGGGGGAACTTTCATTCATTTAATATCTGGAGTTTCTCAAACAATTTTGTTCGTAGTGAAAAGGCGAGTGAAGTTTTAATTTCAGTTCTGCAACAAATATACGCTATCGGTGAGTCTTTTCAATTCCGTTCAATTTGGACATTTGTATCGTAAATTGCACAACAGAAACTTAAGGAAT